GTCGCTCTTTTACTATGTGCTGCTTGATTGCGACGGCGCCAATAACTCCCATTACTCTTCGCAGGACTTTGTCGCTGCCTGCGGGCTTCCTACAAACTACCAGCTATTCATGCAGGGCCTGTGGTACATGGACCACCTCGAATTCGCTGTATGTGATCCGCTTGCTCGATTACTCTGCCCCAGGCTTACTTTTTTTATTGCAATAGACCGCGCTCGAATATGTCTCGCATCCGTCTCTCGGTCCCGACTTTTCCGACGACATCATCATCGCCCTTGTTCAGCACGCGCCCGATGACGACTACACACTCCCTCTCGCATACTTTACGTCGGTGCAACCGGTTCTCAAATCATCAATCGCCGTAAAACTCATCTTTGACGCCATGTCAAGGACAAACGTTACCGAGGCGCTGTTGTACTCGCGCACATTCCCAGATCATGCGCGCGAGCAGCTTTTCCAGAGGCTGATTACGTCAGTGGTGGATGCAAACAAGGACGATGAGATTACAAGGCAGGCCAGCGAGCTCGTTTTTCTCCCGTTTGATGCCACCGAAGATGCCTGGTTCGAAGACTTCCTTTCCAACGGAGAAGGACGTACTTTAAAACGAGCCAAAGATATGCTTCTTGTGCGCCGGATTGCGTGTGACAGGTTCGAGGAGCTGACCAAATACAAAGCCAACAACGAGTGGGCGGCTGTGCTGGAGGGCATTAAAAGCGGCGTAGAAGGTCATCTGGAGTAGAAAATTTACCCACTATATACGGACCTTGGCATAACCTTACGCATAGCGCAGGCGTTGAAAATGGATTCTCTCGGCACACCGTCCCTTGTAGATATGCGCCTACCCTGCACCTAGTTTAATGTGCGTTTATCATGAGTTTTGTGCTGCATTTTATGCCAAACGGCTAATTTGAAACATCTCGAGATTAATGGTTCGTCGCGGTTAATACGTCGCTGAAGTACGATATGAAATGTTGCTGTTGTTGTAGCAGAAATATCAATTTACTTGAGGGTATCGCAGTCCCGTGATGGCGGATTCGGGGCTCCAGTTGCGATGGACAAAACTGGGGTGCACCTCTCGCGAAACACGCCCAAATGACTTGTTGAAACCGATCAAACATGCTATCAATTTAGAAACAAACAACATCAATTTTGAGTCCGGTTTGGCGATATGGTACGAGTTGTCGCTTTGGGTGTTATTGCGCGGGCCAACTTCCCGCCGCCCCAGAGCCCCCATCTATAGCATCGCCAAACGAGTCCCACGAAATCTTGTCCACGTCTTGCCATCGCACCCCCCCGGTTGCCCACATGCCCTGCAACATGGGAATCATATCCGGCATATCAGGATCCGTCGATAGCGCATGCGCCTCATCCAGGCCCATATCCCATTGCGCAATCGCCACTCCGCCGCCACCACCCATCATAGGGCAACCCGCGCTTCTGCTCGGTTGCGTCGCGGCATGAGATTCATCCGCTTGCGAGCTCCGTCTTTGACTGTATTTAGATTCGAGGACACCCAAAACGACGCGATTGGCGGCCAGAATGCTGTTTGAATCAGCACTCGCGACCGAACCTCGGGAAGCTCGGGACAGAAACTGCCCTAGCTGAATCTCCTCGCGCGCAGCAAGCCAGTCAAAGGCCGGAGACAGCGCGACTGGAAATGATAGACGAAAGGCTAGCGTCAGGACAATGATGAGACGTGTCCAGTCATTGACGGTGAACGCGAGCATGGCGGCATCGTCGAGCGCCGCCACCAAGTCCAGGAAAGCTCTTAGCTTCCGCACGGAGCTGTTCATTCGCGTCATCGGTGGTGCGAAGCGCGCATTTCTAGCTGACAAGGCTGTTTTGGCGACAGGCAGCGCAAGTAGGCTTCCAACATCAAGGTAAATCTCGAGATACATGATTTGCATACGAACGGCAGCGTCATCTGATTCACTGTTAGCCACAGTCGCCAGCTGGTGAGCCAGGCTATATACTTAGAATAACTGGGAACCGAACCGAGAGACTGTCCTGCAAATGTTGGTACTGCTGCGAAAGACCGAGTAAAATGAGCTGGCTGTCTCGTGTTGGCATGCCGTCTCTGCCGCTGACAGCTCTCGCAGCTTCCGAGAACAAGCTCGATACGCGCGCCAAGATGGCTAGTTTACGATCGTCGTCATTCTCGGCATACTGCTCCAGGATATCGATTGCCGCGGCTGTCCATGGAGGCTGCCGGGTGCTCACAAATCGATCGCCTTTCCATACAACGATATATCTGCGGTGAAGTCGACTTGTTAGTAGATTCTCTGGCGAATGGCGAACAGTTGCTGCCTACGTGGATACTAGATAGACAAAGGCAAGGTAAGTCCGAATCTTGTCTAGGTCATCCGTGCGTACTCGTTCCTCCCAAGGCCGCGAGCTGAGAAAATCCTCGTCCAGGTTCAGATCGTGCACAATGTCCGAAGCCATGCGCATGCAGCGAGCCAGTTGCGAATTCTTTGGCTTAAGATGAAACGGATACCTGCAGTCAGGTTGTCAGCGTAGGCTGGGCGCGACCTTCCATCCCGGCCACCTCACCATGCGCAATAAATCAAAAGACCGCGGAGCAGCTCGAGGCTTCCGTCGCGTCCGGACACATATCTCAGTCCGAGAATCTTGAGAAACTCGTCGTCATACAGCGAGTGCTTCTGAATCGACCCTGACCCCGACGTCACCGTCAAGATGGCGAGAAGAACAAAAGGCTGCGTCGCGGCAAGTTGCGGGATAGTGCAGTCGTTGGATAGCCTGATGAAGGGCAGATTCCGCACAATGCGAGAGAAGAGGTCGAGAAGCTCCTGCGCTGAAGCTGTGTTGAACTGAGGCTTGCGCCAAATTTCTGCGGCGGCGCGAGATGTGCTCGACGCTGCTGACGGCGTGGCGACTGAATGACTTAGGCTCGGGGTTTCCTGGACAGTACTTTCGTCGTCGAGTGCGTTGGCAAAGGCTTGTGTGTGAATGTCGCGCAATCTCTCGTATTCATCATCCCCGTGCAGTCTTGTCGGCACAAACGTCTCAATGGTAAAGTTTGTAGGCTGCTCAGTTGGTCGCGACGCAGACTCTGCCTCCGCGACACTGGAACAAAGCCATCGAGTGAGCTTGTATTCTTTAGAAAAACGCCAAAAAAACTCACGTAGATGAAGGACGTGCTCTACGCGGGCGAGCCTTGGTCCGAGCGATGCATTCTCTCCTGGCGACAAAGCATCTGCAGCATCGTTAGCATGCGTCTCTATACATTTGCGAAAGCGGCCCGGCTTAGCGCACTTTTGGCAAACACCAGGTTGCTCGCTCGGCTGACACTTTGCCTTGGCCGCGCGACAGTATTCGCAGGCTGTGGCGTTGCGCTTCCCAGCGCGCTTGTGAGAATCGGCGATTCTATCCATGGGCATCTTCTGCCGCGGGAGAGCGCCGGAGCAGAGTCATTGATTCGCGGCAAGTCCTTTGTTCTGCTGCTTCAAAAAATCATTGTTGCCTCGAGGGAGGGTCTCGATTTGCTAACCGGGTTAGATTGACATGTCAGTGGAAAGTGGTCGTTTAACCAGCGACCGTTGGGACAACGACGCTATTTGGTGTGCATGAATCGTCATCGTTCTATATCCGGAGCTGACACGGATATGGGTCCTATCATTGCAATCAGATTACAAGAAACCGACGGATAATTAATTATTGAATTTTCCGACCTTCACTTATTTCTATCCTTGATTCTTCCATCTCACATGGCATATTTTGAATCATGTCCTACTTGAGGCCTTGGTAATATGGCTGGTGCTAACTACAACAACCTTGCTCAGATAGTGAGCAGCGCCAAGATTTTAGGGTCTTTATTATTGGACGCGAGGCTCGTTCTGTCATTTCATACAACGTAGGCTCATTTAAACTTTTTCAGCTAGTCTAGAAGTGCCATAGTCCGAATGCCCTGCGGAATGCTACAGGAAGTGAAAATTTTACCAGGCCACGGATCTAGCTTCAGGGCTGAAGCTTGGCCGAGAGTCGCAGCATACCAGACTCAATGTACATATCATCAAAGATTGTACTGTGTTGCCGTGCTGCTGAGACATCATGAGGAATGGGACCGAGAAAATTCTACCACGTTCATTATTATTGTTGCTTTTTGGCAGACTCCATAAATAACTGAAAACCAATTCTCCGGTCTCACAACGGGTAATGTTCTAGAATATCTCCGAAAAGCGTAGTGGCGGTGCGCCATCATCAATCAATGTTGTATCAGGGGCACTGTACCCAAGCCCACCTTTACGCCTGCCAATAGGGTGTGGCCACGCCTGCCTAGCTAGCCCACAGAACCTACAGAATACATCATCAGTTCTCCCTGACAGGCCTTATTTATCAGTCACCCATCGCAAGGGCGTGCCGAATACCACCCGTCGTAATTGTGCCCTTTGTGTGGCGTTTGCCACTTTTCTAGCCCGAAATGTACCAAAAAAAGAACCAAAAGGGGAGGCCAAATTTATCGTGCTTGCCCCCCCCAGAGAATCGGGCAAAACTCTGCACACCATCCGAGCCTCGCGGAGAAGCCCTAGTATTCAGAAGCCAAGGTCCAGGGGTCAACATGTGACAGACGACGATGGACCCCAACAGCAAAAATGACGGGGCCCCGGAGGGCAAAGAGACAAACAACGAGAGCGCCAGTCTCCATCTTCATTGCGGAGGGACGAATGCCTCCGTTATGATGCTGGCATTTCAATACGACGTGAGTTGGCCCACAAACATGTGCCGTCGCTGCCCGGTCAAACGTTACAGCTAGTGCGGGTAATTATGATGAACGAGATGGCCTTTATTGACATCGGTTGAGCCGCATCTCCTCTCGCCCGATATAGAACTTGCGCGATTCAGTCACAGGCATGTCTCCCCTTGTCCGGACTGGGGATGCGACCAGTGCCAAAACATGGCGGGCAGTGCAATAAGAACAAGGTATTAACTGATGATCTTTTATAAATTTGTGCTAACTAGTCTTCGTTCGGGTCGCGCAAGTGCGAGCGACTCCAGTTGCCTCACCACTTGTCAAGTCTATTGCAGCGTCTGTGCCGACCGCAACAGAAATCGCGCTCCGTTCATGGCTGGTTGGTCCACTACTTCAACGTGCTGAAACTTGTAACCTGCCCTTTCGACGGAGCCTACAATCCGCCTGCGGTATCCTTCATCCTGCATTAGACCTCCGGCCAGCACCAGACTAGCCTTTGATGGCTTAATGCCTTGGTTTAAGACGAGTAAAGCAGCGAGCTCTGCCAGCTTTTCAGCGCCTGCTGCAACAATACGATCTGCATCCTCGTTTGTTTTCACCATGGCCAAGACTGTCTTGGCTACCCCAGCGATGCGACTCGTCCTGTCCATCACGGCGTCCCTGGGCTGCTGTGGAGCAGAGTTGGGCATCATGACAGTGCTGAGTAAATCTTCTGGCTTCGCTTCTGGGAATTTCTCTTTGAAATGGCCAAATACCGCTTTTGCAAGCTGAGATGTTGGCTGCGCGGGCGCACTCGCTTGTTTCCGCATGGAGCACACGTCGCTTTCACGCAACGCCATTCGCAGCGCCTCTCGCCCAATGCTGTATCCAGAGCCATCATCACCGAGCAGGTGACCCCAGCCGCCGGCACGGCCTGAACGGACAAAAGCACCATTTTCTTTTCGAAAACTCATGGCGATGGAGCCTGTACCTGCTACTAAGACAACGGCGCATTCCACAGTTTCCTCCGAGGCCGATGCGACAGGTAAAAGATCGATATCTGTAGTCACTTCAAGCCCGGCGCCGATCTTGAGATTTAATAGCTTCGAGAGTCCATCATTGACTGAAGACTGTACTGCAGGCCGGTCATAGCCGGCGAGACCGATCCGAGCTGCAGCAAACTTAATTGACGAGAACACGCGTCCTTTTGTTGTGGGACATGAGTCTGTTGCTTGCTGAATAGCGCCAGCAATGCTTGACAGACAAGCATCTAGGCCAATGCTTGTTCTGGGAAGGCCTTAAATCAGCAATGGAGAGGCTTGAGTAAGCAGATGAGGTTCTCAAGAACTTACACGTTGCATGGCCCTCCAAAGCCGGCTCCGACAGCCCCGTCTTTGGAGAGAATTGTAGCCTTGCAGCTTGTTCCCCCTGCATCAACACAGAGTACGAGACAACTATCGTCACTAGTCGCCGTACTTGATTGCGTTTCGGCCTCAGTAAAAACCCGGTCGAGAACGCCATTGTTTCGGTCTAGACGTAGCTCGGCTTCCACCAAGGGAACGTCCAAGACCATCATAACAGCCGCCAACCTGGTGCTGCCGCGAGCGGTTGCGAGGATAGCATCTAGCTCTTGATCAGAGTGGTGACATCGTTGGCCGCCAATGACTCTGAGGATGTTTCGGGCGCGCTGTCGCAACTTGATATTCGTGGCTTTGAGATCTACCATCTGCACAGCGTGTTAGTTGCGACAGTTGTACAGGTATGAACTCTCAAACTTGCCAGATTTCCATAAGTCTTGCCCAACTTAATCATGATGCCCGTACTAATCATATTCAAAACTAGCTTTGTAGCAGTGCCAGCCTTCATTCTCGTGCTGCCCGTCACCGACTCGGAGCCGGTGACAGCACTGATGAGGTAGTCGGTATTGCCTTCTATTGCCATCGCAGACGGCTGCACACAGACGACACCCACAGTAGTGCAGCCGATTGACCTGGCATACTCTAGGCCTCCAAGAACATAGGGAGTTCGACCAGATGAGGCAATGCCGATTAATGAATCTAGGTTTGGCGCAATATTAAAAGCGTCAAGATCAGTCTTGGCAGCAGATCGGTCATCTTCCGCGCCTTCCTTGGCGTTGCGTAGCGCATAGTCACCGCCTGCAATCAGTGCTATAAATTGATTTGGGGGGCTTGAATAGGTTGGCGGAATCTCAGAAGCATCTAGCACGCCTAGCCTGTTAGATTTTGTTAGCTGAGCCCCGACAAGGCGACGTCAGAATGGTAGCTTCCGACTCAGCTGGCAGATCATGGCCTTGCCGTATGGCTCGCCGAACAGTCGGCTCCGAGGATGGCGGCTTTGCTCCTTTCGGGTCAGAACACAAACGTACCTTCCGCTAGTGCCAGCACCAATGTAAAATACGCGACCGCCTTTGCGGACTCTTTCGGTCAGCGCGTCAATCGTTGCCGCAATCTCTGGCAGACAGGGTGTGACGGCTGCAGGGACACGGCAATCCTCTTCATGTAGGATGCGGCATAGTTCCTCGGTAGATACCTTGTCAATCGTCGCGGTTCTCGGATTGCTGTTCTCAGTCTGGAGTCCGCCCAGATCAACACCGGAGGGTGGCATGTTGAATGAGTATGTCGAATAGCCTTGCGTTGGAGAAGAACAAGCGCAAAATGAGGGGACAGCTCAAGACAATGAGCGCAGTTTTCAATACGTGAGAGCGACAAAGCCACAGTAAATCATCGAAACGTACGTTGAACGGCGCCGTTGAGCAATGCCATTGACGTCGAGATGGACTCTGCAGACTTGTGAGCCGGCAAGCCGAACTGACCCCCACGAGGCACCAAGACGCTAACACGGCTGTTTTATCAGCCAAGACCCATAGACAGGCACGAATATGCCAGAAAGTGAGGCGCTTTAGCAGCGAGTCATGCCTGATTGAGCCTAATGCCAGTACGCCATCTTGAGCCGCGCAGGTGCGATGTCCTACTGCACTCGGCTGGCTGGAAATTCTCTATACCAAGTTCCATTCCCCCAAGATGCCGAAAACCGTGGCATCGTACCTGCAAAAAACTCGGCCGTCTTTCATTACAGCGAAGAACTGGTCTCCCCCACGAATCGCCGCCTCCAAACTCTCTTTCATTGGGCCTAAGGTTTCCCACCCATCTCCACCCCCAAGGATAGACAAGACCATTCTGCTAGGACCAGGTGAGAAGAACTTGTGGGGAGACATGCTAAGATGTAACGTGTGAAGCTGAATTTTTAGTCGCTTGACGCTAGTAGCTTTCGAGATCTACTTGCGTCGACTACCGAAGACCATAACCGTTGATCCTTTTGTCGCGGCCGCAACGACGTGCCGGGGTGGCGCACCTCTAATTACCTTATAAGAAGTCAGTCTTGCACTTATTCCCCGGATTTTCTGATCTGTCCGTGTGTATGTGAGGGCATCCATCTTTCCCCAGAAAATTCGGCAACGCAGCAATGGCCCAGCAGGAAGTAGAGAAAATGCCTTCTGCCGAGAAGCACATCGAGGACAGCGCCACTGACACTGTCCAGGCCTCATTAACCGGTTCAGACCTAGAACAGGGCCAAGGTCAGAGCAAGATGATGCGCTTCTACTCTCATCCTTGGACGCAGATCCTGCTCATTTCCATGATTTGCTTCTGCCTCCCCGGAGTATGTCATGTGAACCACTAATAGTCAGTAATGGATGGGCAAGAAAAAAAAGCTAACACCCGCACAAGATGTATAACGCTCTCACAGGCATCGGAGGCTCTGGTCAAGTTGACCCGACTGTTGCCGCAAACGCCACCGTCGCTCTCTTGTCCACCACTGCGGCGACTGCTCTCTTCATTGTCGGCCCCATCTTCTCAATCACCGGACCTCGAATTTGCTTCCTCATGGGCGGATGGGCATATGCTCTCTACAGTGGCAGTCTGCTTCATTTCAACCACCATGGCAATGGCGCATTCGTCATTGGCTCCGGTGCCGTGCTTGGTATCGGCGCTGCTCTCCTCTGGATCGTGCAGGGTGCCATTATGACTACCTATGTCGACGAATCTCAAAAAGGCCGCGCTATTGCCGTTTTCTGGGTCATTTTCAACTTTGGAGGCGGCATCGGCTCACTCGTCTCCTTTTCCCTCAACTATAACAACACTGCCGGCACTGTCAGCGACTCGACTTATATTGCTCTCTTGGCCATCATGGTCTTTGGATGGACGCTGGGATTTCTCATCTGCTCCCCGAAGCACGTTCGTCTGGCGCAGCTTCACAGAGCTGTCGAGACTGAGAAGAACACGGTTGCGGGCATGCTCAAGATGACGCTCAGCACGCTGATGAAGTGGCGAGTCGCGTGCATGATTCCCTTGTTCTTTTCCGCCAATGTCTTTTACAGCTACCAACAAAACAACGTCAACGGCTACACCTTTAATCTTCGCACGCGATCTCTCAACGGTGCGCTGTACTGGTTCTCGCAGATGGCTGGTGGTCTGTTGATAGGCCTTATTCTGGATCTGCCCATGCTCAGCAGGCCCAACCGTGCGCTTTTGGGCTGGTTCTTTGTCTTTGCGACGGGCATGATTATCTGGGGCGGCGGCTACCAATTCCAGCTCTGGCAGGATAAATTCTTTGCCGAGGGTGGAAAGCAGACTCTTGACTTTAAGAACAGCAAAAAGGCTGTCGGCCCCATGTTTCTGTACGTTTTTTACGGACTCTACGATGCTCTTTGGCAGGGCTTTGCCTACTGGCTCATTGGCACCGAGTCCAACAGTACGTCCCGCGCGGCGATTCTCGTAGGCCTGTACAAGGGCTTGCAGGCTGCCGGTGCCGCTCTTGCCTGGAGGCTCAATGCCCTGCATCTCGCACCCATGAAGCAGCTAGCAATGGATTGGGGCCTGTGCATTGGCTCTTTGATAGTTGTGCTTCCCATGGTTCTGACCATTTCGGAAAGGACAGTGGCGGAGGAGGAAGCGGGATTCTCTGGGTCTGAGGTGAAGGATGCCAAGCTGGCGAAAGAATAAGGTGCGAGAAGCCTTTGTCATTATTAGTACATTTCTATGAAAATGCCCCCTTTTCAGCCTGTCGTGCATTTCAAGTATCTTGTCATGTGATTGTTGCGACTTGTCACAATTCCTCTGTCTGGAGAGAATTGCTAGGCGAGGTTTGGCAGCTAGATTAATGCTTCCAACAGATGCGGTTGAAACGTATTCTGGACATAGTTTTCCCAGACTGCAGAGAAATGAAGAGAAAGGCTGCAACTAACATGTTGCTTATTTTGATGCGACAGCTCAGGTCCGCACGGGAGCGCCATCGCGTGCTTCAATCACTCACCTCAAGCCACCAGCCACACTAGCTCAAGGCGAAATGAGTTTTTTTTTTCTCGCCGAGCTTCGTCTTGATACATACACGCTTTTATCGATGAGGCGGTGCCAGCCTTGAAAATAGCGTGATGCGTTTACTTTCATCTCGCATTTAATAGTTTGTGCATCTCAACCCCCTGTTGCTCAACGCCTCGCCTCGCCCCTCCTCAGAGCCTGTTTGCAAGCCTCCCACGTCCATATACATACGACAGGATGCCTTTTTTCGCTGAGCTGAGACTTTGTTAGCTGTCTTTTGGCATGATTGACTGTTGAACAAAAGTCATCATGAAGTGCATGATTTCGCTGGACCCGGCGGTCCAGTCGATTGCGATATCGTCAGCCTTTCTCGTGCTGCTCCCTACTGCATGGCTCAGCGTGCGCCGAGCCGTAGTCAAAGTCGGACCTGGCTTCTTAGCAAATGCCAAGCTTGTCAGTACTATTCAGAGTTGATGCAGCAACTTGAAAAAAAAATGAATCCTAATGTGCGAGTTGTAGGTTACCGGCGGCGGCCTAGTCGTGGTGACTGTGGCACATTTGGTCGCGCTTCTCGCGCAATCTAGCCATGCGCCGTCCATAGTCGCCATGGCCTTTTCCCTTGCTGCTGCCATTGGTGTAGTACTGCTGTCATCCGTGTACCATCAAAGGTCGCTCACATCTTCGAGACTCCTTGTACTCTATCTCCTCGTATCGGGATGCTGGAACCTTTCTGCCGCCTTGGAAGTCATGGCCGCGCACCGTTTGCACCGTCTCATGTTCTTTCTACCAGTGACAGGCGCCATCCAGCTGACCTTGCTGGTTCTCGAATGCACCTCAAAGCAAGACATTTTTCTGCCGCAGTACAAGGCGCTGGCACCTGTCGAGACTGCCAACTTGTTCAGCGCCCTCTCCTTCTGGTGGATGAACAAACTGCTCCTTCAAGGAAACAAGCACATTCTCCAAAACGAGGATATGCCACCGTTGGACTCTCAACTAAAGACAGCTGGATTGTATAAGATTATCAAACATGCGTGGAGTACTCGAGGTAACATTTCATCACTTTTCATAATAATGTGCTCTGGTCTGATTAAAAGTTCTAGCGAGGCCCGAGACGAAGACGACGCTCTGCAAGGTTTTGCTCAAGACACATACACGACAGTTCATCACCACCATGATCCCTCGACTTTTCATGGTACTTTTTGAATGCAGTCAGCCGCTGCTCATCAAAGCCATCATTCGCTACGTCGAGTCTTCCCATCGTCAAAGCTCCTGCTACGACCGCTACCTGGTTATCGCGGCCTCGGCAGTATATCTTGGATCAACATTCTCGAGCTCTCAGTACCTTTACAGAACTGCTCGACTCGAGCTCAGCTTGAAAAGCTCGCTCACATCTCTCGTCTACCACAAGACGCTGGCCACTGCCGCGCACGCTGCAGACACTGGAAAAGCTACGACTGTGATGAGTACCGATGTGGATGCCATTGCCCAGGCTCCGTCCATGTTTCACGACCTTGTTGGTAGAATACTTGAAGTGACATTTGGGCTTCTTATTCTAGGTGACCAAGTCAAATGGCTCTGGCCTGTACCGCTGGTCATTATCTTTTTTTGCTCCCAAGTGAGCAGATTCGTCGCCAAGAATATTGGTAGACGGCAAAGAAACTGGAACGAGGCGACCGAGCGTCGCATGACAGCCCTGGGGTCAATCTTGGGATCAATGAAGAGTGTCAAAGCACTGGGAATTACAGAAGCATTGCTTTCTTACGTCGCCGACTTGAGGAAGGTTGAGCTTTTGCGGGCTGGAGAGAAGCGTTTCATGGATTGCCAGTACAACTCGAGCGCGAATGCACTCGGAGTCTTCTCCCCTGCAATTACAGTCGCGCTGTTTGCAATAATTTCTCATGTGAAAAAAGTCCCTCTTGACACGGCGGTTCTGTTTACTACCGTTGCAGCGCTCACCATAGTAACGCATCCGGCCAACATGATCATGACCATATATCCACGTATCGTCTCGGTTTCCGCCAGCTTTGAACGATTTCAAGAATTCATGACTGCGTCACCCTTAGAGGATACTCGCCAGGTTGACCAAGAGGATATACCAGTCTGCAGGCACAATCGCACTGCAATCTCTCTCACAGACGTCAGTATCTATGGCAGGAATGACCAGCCTATCCTGACAAATATTGACATGAAGCTGCGGTATGGCTCCGTCACAATCTGCTGCGGCTCTGTCGGCAGCGGCAAGTCTGTTCTCGGCAAAGCGATCCTTGGCGAACTACACGCAGCAAGGGGCCTGGTGGAGGTATCCTCAAAGCGGGTTGGGTTTTGTGACCAGACGCCATGCATAATGGCTGGCACAGTAAAGGAAGTCATTTGCGCTTTTGCATCGCCTGTTGATGAAGAAAGATACAGAGCTGTTGTCAAGGCCTGCTGTCTGGATCTTGATCTTGGCCACTTTCAAGACGGCGATGCTCTTTACATTGGAAGTCGAGGTGTCAACCTGTCTGGCGGCCAGAAACAGCGGATTGCACTTGCCCGGCTGCTATACAGTGGCGAGGCTGTTGTGGTCCTCGACGACAGCTTTGCAGCTCTTGATGGAACCACGGAAAGCCAAGTGATTCAGAACCTCATCGGGCCTGCAGGATGGTTGCGCAGAAACGCTGTCGCTGTCTTGTGGATTACGAATGCTGCCCAATACTTTCGCTTTGCTGACCATGTTATCATGCTTGAACAGGGAAGAATTACTAATCAGGGCACGGCAGAACAAATGCGACCATTTGTCAGTGAGCTGCGGAAATTTCACGCGAAAGATGATGATTCTCCGGCCCACGAAGCGCCTGCACGCCTCGCCAAGACACAAGCCAAAAAGGATGCACAAAACGACTTGTATCGTCAGACGGGCGACATGTCACTGTATACATTCTACTTCGAGTCAACCGGCGTAGTGGCGCCCCTCGCCGTCGTCGGCACTACGGCAACGTACGCCGTCTTCAATACTGTACCTACCTACTGGATCAAGTACTGGGCTGATAGAGAGGGCTCGAATACTGCAATATTCGCCATAGGTTACGTCTTCATCGCGTTCATGGCATGGGCGGCTACAAGCGCTCATATGTGGACTACGTTTTGCCTCTTGGCAAAGCGATCCGGCTCCTATCTGCACAATGCCCTTGCCATTAGGATATTCGGCGCGCCTCTGTCGTATTTTGTCGCGACCGATATTGGCGTGATGCTCAATCGCTTCGGTCAAGACATTGACTTGGTTGATCGACAGCTGCCAAACGCATTTGCCCGCTTCGCGACTCAATGCTGTAAGATGGTGGCACAAGTCATTGTCATGTCTCTTGTACAAACAGAGGTTGCTTTCGCGGTACCCGTCTGCGCCGTTGTAGTCTATTTTGTCCAGCGAGTCTACCTTCGAACGTCTCGCCAGCTTCGCGTGCTGGATCTCGAGGCCAAGGCTAGTCTATATTCGGGCTTTCACGAAACCGTACGTATATCTGCGTCACTCGTTCACCTCTTTCGTATGCTAAACCTTTGAGACTGTAGATTGACGGACTGCTGACCATTCGCGCCTTTGGGTGGCAGGCTGCTGTCGAGCAGCGCAACATTGACGCCATCGATTTATCAATGCGCCCCGTCTTCCTCATGCGGTGCCTGAACAGATGGCTCTTGATTGTATTGGAACTCATAGCCAATACTGTTGCTATTGCAATTGTATTACTGGCTGTCATGGGTGGCGACGAGCGAGGCACACGCATTGGTGTCGCGCTGAATCTGGTCATCTTGACGAATAAGACGCTCATTGCTCTGGTACTCGGCTTCACAGATTTAGAAGTTTCCCTCGGTGCTATTTCGCGTGTCAAAACTGTTGATGAGATGACTCCACGAGAGGATCTTCCTCGGGAAGCACAGATGCCCCCCAAGCACTGGCCGATTCACGGTGATTTGGTGCTGAACAACCTCTGTACAGGATACAGGTGAGCAACCAGACACTGACGAGTTTGTGATGAGCGATTTCTAATTCTTATTCTTAGATTCAATCAAGATGTACTCCGTCATGTCTGTCTAGTCGCCGATACTGGATCAAAGCTCGTCGTCTGTGGTCGCACTGGCAGGTAAGATTACCACCTTCCACTTTTGGCGATTCTGAGGAATAACCGAATGTAAAAGTGGCAAGAGCACCATATTCATGTCTCTGCTCAGATTGATCGAAAGTACTGGCACAATCTCAGTGGATGGGTGGAACATTCTGAACATACCTCGATCTATCGTCCGCAGCCGCTGCTTCATCGCCGTCCCGCAAGACGGCATCATGTTTAAAGACGCCTCACTACGATTCAATCTGGACCCCACCACTACAGTCAAGGACGAAAACTTGCGAGATGCCCTCGAGTCCACCGGCCTCTGGACCGTCTTTTCCGGCGCCCACGACCAATCCGCCGACATTCTCGACCAGAAGCTCTCCAGTCTTGCGCCGCTCTCCGCCGGCCAGCAACAGCTCTTTGCCCTCGCGCGCGCAGTGGCCCAAAAGCACCGAGAGCGCCCTTACTCGGACAGTGAAGAGCTTGTGCCGTGCCGCCGATCCAAGCCCATTGTTCTTTTGGATGAGCTGACGGCGTTTATGGACTCGGCCACCGAGACCAAGGTGTACAATGTCGTCGAGAGAGAATTCGTCGAAGAGGGCCATACTGTCGTTATCGTGTCTCACAGACTTGATGGTCTGCTGGGGAGGCTAAGGCAGGGTAGGGACGCTGTGGCTGTGCTCAGGGACGGGCAGGTGACGGTTGAGACGGACTTGAGCAAGCTCGCCAACGTTGATAATGGTGACCAAATTGATTCCTCATGCTGATTGTAAATGGTACATGTTTTCTACATGATAGATCGTTGAACTAGACCAATGAATACTCAAGATTGTCATCTTGCAACCGAAAGAGAGCCAAGTTCCTCTCTTCATCTATTGTACCATGTCAACTGGCTGACTCAAGAGTCCAATTTCTTCTCGCACTAACGGTTTGAACAGACACGACAAACATAGGAAGACTCTGCACCTCAAAACGTGCACCTGATCTCAGCGTTACCAACTCTTTTAAATTTTGGAGCGTTGCACAACACGTGTCCTCGTTGCTGCGCAGAGAGTAGCGGGTAGTCCAAATGCCACAGCCGTCTTATAGTCGGTTGAGTTTGCATCTTTTGCATACCCGAATGTTACAGCCACCGCATTCGAAAAGAAAACTTGACAAATGGTACCGGCATTCCTCACATCTGCCTGCCCCAGGTCTATACGTCCAATTCCAGTGGGTGCACTCATGAGTTCGACGAATGTGTTTCTGTGCTTCCCTCACTGCATCTTCACTGGTGCGCCCGCCGAACATGCCTCTATCGACGAGCTGCTCCGCTCGCTGAATGATGCGGTCTTCGCTCCAAGTCTCACACCGACAGGTTTTCCAACTTTTGCCACAACTGTAGCAGAACTCATTCCCGCAACGACAGGCTAACGTACAACTCTGTCAGATTTGTCGAGCTGTCTCGTAAAGACTGGTTGTACTTACTTATGTGGTTGCACCCGTGGTTTAGCTCGACAAGGTGTTGACAGCGATAACACTGTTGCCAGCCGTTTTCCTTCGCCACCGCCAGAATCTCCTTTTTGTAAGGGTCGTCAGGGCAGGCGCCGTCGTGCTCGGCGCCTTTGCAGAAGGTGCAAGTTCACACATCACAAGCTTCACAGTAGCCGAGGCCGTCATGAATGTGGTATGGTGAAATGAATTTCGAGCAATTAACGTTGGAGCAGTAGGTTCGGTCGGCAGAAGTAAACTCGTCTTCTTTATCTTCAAATTCGATAAGCAACTCCTTGGGGAGCCACTTTTCTACATCGTCCAGCGAAATGGTCTCTTTGCAGCATCTGGGAGGGAAGAGGGACCCATCAGTTGTAGAAGCCTTAAAAAGGCAGGCTAGACAATCCCGGCAGTAGACATGACCGCAAGATACTGAAACAGCGAGGTTGTCGCCATAAGCTCCATCACAGGCCACACAAATCAGATCCTGATCCTCGTCAACAGGTGTTGAGTCATTCGTAACTGTAGATCCTGATGCTTCATCATCAACCAGTGATGCACTGGCAAGGGATCTTACCACAGCCGATACGGGCGTTTTGCAAATCGTACCAGCTGAGTTTGAAGCGTTCGGTTGCCTGACTGAGCCAGAAATGACCGGGTTAGCTTGGGCAGAAGTGCGACCTTGTCGAGACGGGCCAGCGACGACTGCTGTGGAAGGAAGAGGTTGTTCTGGGACAGGTGCAGGAAGTGGCTCGGTGTTGCGCTGGGGCTGAATCCGGAGACAGTATTCTCTGTCAGTTAAAGATTGAATGTGGTTAGTCAAATACAAGCTTTGCATCTGCAGGGCCAAAGCAAAGTCGTCCGGCTCATCGGCTCGACCTTTTCCCTTTTGCAAAGGCTTGAACTCCTCGAGGTCATCCTGCATCAGCTGCAGAGCCAGACGCTCAGAAGGATCAATAGCCCCGGCCATTTCTGACGACAGGCGCTGCGAGAGGAAGAGCGAAAAAAATCAAAGCAAAGTGTTATCCAATGAAGAAGGGTATGTTAAGGAAGAAAGCAAAGCAAAGTCACGTTGGAGTGCAGGAAGAGAGAAGACCTGAAGCGTTGAAAACAGAGGCCGGTTGAAAACAATGCTCCCGTTTGCATGCCTGCCGGTGCATTTGACCATGGCTACAAGCATGCTAGTTTCCATGACAAACAGATGCGAAGCAATGTGATCATATGGAGTAGTCCCCGGAATCATTTTTGCGGAGAGAGCCGCCGACATTGCAAGAATTGGTGGGCAGAGTCCTTCATGTAGTCCGAAGAAACCGAAAGTGACGAATACAATATAAGAGTTGAAAGAAAGAGTCATGTACCCGTATACATATCTCGAAACAGCGCAGTAAATTTGTGGGCTCATAAATCCGAGCACTGAGGAGGCTATCACGGTCAAACAGAGCAGGAGCACGTCTTCCACTGCCGGCCACAGCGATAACAGAAATGACCTCCGCAGCCGCAACCTAACAAGTGTGTTAGTCAGGCATAGGCATAACCAATAGAAATCTGAATCTGCAACTCACTCACCTGCAAGCAACCCAGCTTCTCTCTACCAAGTGCCCTCCCGCTTTGCCATAGTCTGGACCTCGTTCTGGAGAGGATCGTCGGACACATTCCATCATGCGCGCGTCCGCTCTGCACAGAATACACGTCATACCCTGCATGGGGAACACTGGCCGCAATCTCCCGCAAATTCGTTGTGTGGGAGAAACTCGCCGCACGCGGGGTTGTGGGCAGTCTCGTCGGTTTGGTGAGTTCAACTTGAGCTGCTTTTTCTCAAATTAAGCCGCAAGCTCGGCTGGTAGCCATGAGAGAGCACCTTCCAGCGGGATGGGTGGTGAGCAGCATTTCTGGGGAAATCGAGATGCGCCAGTAATCGCCGTCGTGAAGCGTCCTGAAGAGCAGCCAGCGCAGCCATTTGTTGCTGGTAGGAACAGTCAAGAGTACATACAAGGCATTCGAGAACGAGGACAAGCGCCAGAACGTAACGCTTAGGCCGATGGCCAGGTCAGCAGCTCTGCTTTGATTACGAGCCAGCTGGCACGTGTAGCCTGGCTTCGTGAAAGAACGCTGTGAACTAACTAATAGTGTAATTAATATTGCGTTCGTGGTTTTCCATCATACACACAACCACTTGGCACAAGTAAAATCTGAAAGCAAAAAGGTATGCATTAATGAGCAATCGTAGTCATTACGCTAAAAATCATCCTCTCGTTTCTTCTTCATTTTTAGGTGTGCAGCGTGCCGTTTGGTGTGATATTTGACGTCGTCGGGGTATAAAGGATTCCAAACTGTATCGCAAATTGTGCACTCGGAAAAGGCAGCCTTGCTCGAAATATTGAGCGTCGTTTGCACTTCTGTAGATGATGGCTTCCGCCTAACACGTCTGCAGCCGGAACCTGCTGAGCCGCCACCGCCACCCAGCCTTCGTTTGGATCGTGGTTGTGGTATTCCTTTCATTACGTCTTTTGGCTCGTCTTTCTCAGACATGCGGCTGTGATCTCGTTCTTGACCAGTCTCGTCGTCACGGTGAATAGACTGATTCAACCGAATCCGCAGCAGCCGACTCTTGGGCTGCGCTACTGGCCGATCTGTCTTCTCCTCGACACAACCTGCGCCTGGAAGAGTGTTGGCCTTTGTGGGCTCTATAGGTATGAGATGGGTCGTGGGTCTGAAGTAGTTGAGAATCGATCGCTTCGCAGGAGGATTCAGTTCAGGCTTGGACAGCGGCTGCTTCCCTTGGCCCTGCTCAGCGGTAGGTTGTGGCTTTGCTTTAAAAACGGAGAGGTTTGTGGGCACATAATCTTCGTGAACAATGAAGCCGAGTGGCTTGATGTTCTTGTCATCGAGGACGGTGCATGCAGTTCGGGCCCTCTTTGCTGGGGGTTCAGATCGAGGCTCAGGCGTCGCCGTTGATCGCTTGCCATATGTACGCAGAGGCTTGTCACGTTTTCGTGACAGTGGCCGTACACCTGGCTTAGTTCTGCGAGGCGTTAGAATCGCGGGTAGTAGCTAAAATTGCGAATTTAATATGGACTTGCATGGCGTATTCTGGTGACGAGCTGATCATGGTCCGAATGTCTCGTTTGCGAGGCAAAGGCGATGGAGAAAATGTGGGCGATCGTGGAAGAGAGTGTTGTATAGACGAGTTTCGAGAACGCTTAGTGAAATAGAATTCGAACCGAGACTGAGAAACAGAATATCCAGAATCGCACGCAGAAAGAATACTGTTTGCAAGCTGCAACTCCAAGGACCTCTAGAATACTTGGCCCCCACTGGTGTTAAAAGCATGGCGCGACACGAAAGACGCGACGCCAGCTGGTACCTACAGGCTACCAGGCACCAACCTAAGAAAGCGCGTACCACTTTGACGGTTCGCGCTAATGGCGTAGCAGGGTGTCGATTTCGCGTTGAGTGGTGCCACAGCTCGATTTTCAGTACAGCAGCAGACAAGTCACTTTCTACTGGTATTAGCTTGGATGCTCGCATTGATCAAGGCTCAGTGCCGTATAAATCATTATTTTTACATGGCGGGCTATGAGTCTACGTCTGCACCTTTTGCAACCCTTTTCTTGAGTTGACTGTCTGTAACATGTATTTTTTCGGGCAGTAATACGGCCTCATCCCGTTCATCTTTGCCATCTTTGTCTTTGCCTACAATCCAGGTCTGCACGACCTCTTTCCGCTCAGGTCGGATGTCTTCCTTGCGCTTCGCCTCGCCCATGCGCCACACGTAGCCACCGTAAACGGCCACTTCGGCGATAGCGACGAGTATACTGCCAGCCATGGTAAGGAGCAGACGGGCTGGGAGACTCCACCATCGACCGAGAATCCAGAGCGTTGCAGCTACACCGGCGATGCTGACGAGGAAGTTAATCAGTAGCATGACCTGCCTATGTATTTCGTTGTATGTGACATCATCGTCGCCGATGTCCGCATCGCTCGTGGGTTTGTTTGCAGCAGCAAAGGATCGAGCCGAGTTGGGGAAACGATCTTTAAAAGTCTCGAGCGGGATGGGAGGGTTGATCATTCGTTGGTAGGCGCGAGCATCCTCATCTCGGCGAAGCTTGGCCATGAGGGCAATATACTCGGGTGACTAGGCTTCGTGTGAGTGACTCCATCAAGGCACTTTCGTCAGTAGCAGTCCCTTCCGCGATGCGTACCTTTGCAGGCTTCGGCGCTGGCGGCGTGACGTAGATCTGCGACCCTCGTAGCAGCTCCTCTAAGCGGAAAGCTTTCTGGGATTTCGAGAGTCGTAGTATTTGGCTATGTAGTATTGGGTTGCCGATGGCGGGATTGACGAGGGAAGGATCGCTCGATTCGTCAGGGTTCATGGCCTGATAATCTATGCGCGCGAGGCAGTCCACGATGGACTGCGTCATGGTTAGAAGAACCATCGCACGTAAAGCGTATGAGGCGCAGAAAGCTCTGCAAATTAACTGATATGAGGTATATCTTCGATGCGTTAATTTTGCGCTTGCACGGGCCGCGGCCAGAACCGACGAAATGCGGTGATGATAACGATAACATCGGTGGCAGGCAAGTTGAAACAACTGATATCGACAAACCAAGTCCGATGCGAAAAGTGGCTCATTTAGCCAATCGGAAGCCCGGAAATGTCATTTTAGTGGGCTCCGGCTTGACCCGCCGCGCATGAAAGCGGATGCAAAAGTTTAGCCAGCGATACTTATTCCTAGCAGTCTCGCTCCGTAAATATTTGAACAGCATCCCGCATTTTGCCTCAATTGAGTTTCCGGTGGTTTAGGCGCGCTCGGAAGACCGAATTCCCAGGATTTTCCACACAGAGAGCCGCTCATATTCTCTTTCTCGAGCCTGTGGAGCTGTCTTGTCTCATGATGAGCCTACGTCAACGATCCTCATCCGCCCTTACCCAGGCTGCAGCCCGGAGGACTGCGGCACCGTCCTGTGTGCTTTGTCGACTGCCACGAGAACCATCACGAGCACAGCGATCCCCTATCCATTCGACATCGAAGAGGGACTCAGCCTGGGCAGCCGCGGTGCAGGTTGCCTCCAATGTCGTTGGCAATGTCGTCAAGAAGGCCGGCAATGACACCATGGCCATTGACCCCCTTCGCACAGTCGCCAAAGAGATGAAGTTCCTCACTGGTAATATCCGAAAGCTTCTCGGTTCTGGCCACCCTTCTCTTGACCGAGTCGCGAAATACTATACCCAAGCCGAGGGCAAGCACGTCCGACCCTTGATTGTCCTGCTAATGAGCAGAGCCACGCACCAATGTCCAAAGAATCCGCACAGCGACAGCCCGCAAACCGCTCGCGGCATCGATTCTTCAATATCGCCTGGCCAGGTTCTTGGCGACTTCAATCCCTCTGCGCTTCCTTTGACGGCGCCCGAGGCCGACATGGCCAACCCGGAACTAGACATTCTCCCCAGCCAGCGTCGCCTGGCCGAGATCGCCGAGCTTATCCATACAGCTTCACTGCTGCACGACGATGTCATTGACCACTCTGAGGCGCGTCGCGGTTCTCCGTCTGCCAATCTCGCGTTTGGCAATAAGATGGCCGTGCTTGCCGGAGATTTTTTGCTTGGTAGAGCCTCCGTCGCCCTGGCGCGTCTACGCAATGCCGAAGTCGTTGAGCTCTTGGCAACCGTAATCGCCAACCTGGTGGAAGGCGAATTCATGCAATTGAAGAATACTGAGCGAGACGAGCGCAATCCCAAGTGGTCCGAGGAGACACTCAGCTATTATCTACAAAAGACGTACCTAAAGACTGCCAGTCTCATCTCCAAGTCTTGCCGTGCTGCTGCTTTGCTTGGCAATACCGACGTTGCCACTGTCGAGGCTGCCTACGCTTATGGCAGAAATCTCGGACTGGCATTTCAGCTCGTTGACGACATGCTCGACTACACTCGTTCTGACAAGGACCTTGGAAAACCCGCCGGTGCTGACCTCGAGCTTGGCCTCGCCACTGCACCACTCCTGTTTGCTTGGAAGGAAAACCCGGAGCTTGGTGCCCTGGTTGGCCGCAAGTTTGAGAACGATGGCGATGTTCAGCGCGTGAGTACACACTTACCCTCCAACTTTTGAGCTGTTCACTTACTCTTCGCAGGCCCGCGAACTAGTCCTGCAAAGCGACGGAATCGAGCAGACCAACGCCCTTGCCCACGAATACTCCGAAAAGGCCATTGCCGCCATTGCACATTTCCCCGACAGTGAAGCCAAAGATGGCCTCATCGAGATGGCCGAGAAGACGGTCAAACGCAAGAAATAAATAGAAAAACCCCACCCTCGAAAACGGCTGATCAGGCGGCCATGACGGAAACTCAGACCTTATGCGCCTCTGCTCACCTTGTACAAATAGCGTTTAACATTTATACTGTAATTACAATCGTTCGACGGCTAGCGATTAGGAAGTTTAGTAAGATATGTATGAGAGGTTGGCATGAGAAGGGATCTTTTTGCATGGGGACTTTCTTATGATGGCACATATAGACAGGATACGGGTTTGGATCGAGAAGCTTTGACAGCACCAGGATAGAAAGACATTATCTGTTGTAAATCAGAGTCTGTCATGAGACCCGTCTCTTTGTTTAATCTTTATCGGCCAGCTTGAAATATTAGGCACAGGGCGGTTACCGACGATCCTTGCACTGTGCCCTGCAATCTGTCATTCACATGCGAAATAATGTCCAACAGGGGCCTCGGTGACATTCTCTCAGAGATAGAGCGACCTGCATAGCTTTCGGAAGCAGGCCGCAGCTTCGGTTTGGCCCACTTGGCCATGGACGTTCCGTGATTTCGGTTGGCGGCCAAGTCCGACCATGTGCTTATAAGTGAAGCTGCGGGATGTGTCAAGACGCCTTGTTGGTGCATGAGAAGTATGAGGTAGTCTCCTCGCCCAGCTCCGACAACTGCAGATAATTGCGGCCATTGCGAAAATCCAGATGCAGATTCTAGTGGTAGCACCCGGCGCTTCGAGGAGCCTCGGCCGCCTGGGCTGTTCCTCACAAACACCAGCGCCGAGTCTGCAGCAAGGCTAGCTCAACCGGCAGCGGCCGACGGCGCCCCATTTGGTGGTTTCCGACAACTCGAACCCTTTGACCCAGATTTGCGCAAACTCAATTCTCTGCGCATATCTCCTACCCCTGAACTTTAAAAAAGCAGTGCTTTATTTCTCTCTTCTTTTGGCAAGTCAGGATAGGTTATTACTGATAGAAGCCCACGTCTCTCAGTGACTGGTTTTACCACAACAATCGTGAGCAAGCAGTTACCCCGCCCCCACCATCTTCAACTCGCTGCTTTGCCGACAAACACCATGTCGGGACCTTTGACGATACTCGTGTCATCGCGGGCAGTCCTCCCAGGCCCCGACGGCTCGCTCATTGAATCGCCCGCAACTATTGCCGTGTCGGCAGCCACCGGCAAAATTGTCTCGGTTGAGCCTAGAATCCTGCCGCGAGACACCTTTCCCAGCGATGCTACGTACATTGACCACTCGCCAAAGGTGCTTCTGCCTGGACTGGTCGATGCGCACGTGCACCTCAACGAGCCCGGCCGCACCGAGTGGGAGGGCTTCTGGACGGGTACGCGCGCGGCGGCAAGTGGCGGCGTGACAACTGTGATTGACATGCCGCTGAACGCCATTCCACCTACGACGACGGTGCAAGGGTTCCGGGAGAAGCTCGCGGCCAGCCAGGGACAGTGCTGGGTGGATGTGGGCTTTTACGGCGGCGTCATCCCGGGCAATGCTGAGGAGCTAAAGCCTCTCGTCGAGGCGGGCGTCCGCGGCTTCAAGGGCTTCCTGATTGAATCCGGTGTAAGTACAGCCTTTCACGGGTCCAACTCCTCACCATGCACTTTGACTGATATTTCCGTTAAAGGTCGACGAGTTTCCTGCCGTGACCGGAAAAGATGTCGCTCTCGCCATGGATACGCTCAAAGACTCGCCCACTACGCTCATGTTTCACGCGGAAATGGTGCCGCAGGAGGGCGCGCCGACCATTGACGCCAGCAGCTCCGATGCCACCGCCTACCAATCTTTCCTCGACTCGCGCCCGCCCTCGTTTGAGACGTGCGCCGTCGAGGAAATTCTCTCCCTCGCACACCTCGCGCCCAAGCTACATCTTCACATTGTGCACCTGTCGGCCACGCAAGTGATTCCACTGCTCAAGGCTGCGCGCGCCAAGGGCACCCACATCACCGCCGAGACGTGCTTTCACTATCTGGGGCTCTCGTCTGAAGAGATCGACCAGGGAGACACGCGGCACAAGTGCTGCCCGCCGATCCGCGAGGGCAGGAACCGCGACGGCTTGTGGGAGGAGCTCGTCGCGGCCGACTCGTGCATCACGACGGTCGTGTCGGATCACTCGCCGTGCACGCCCGAACTGAAGCTGCTGCCGGCGCATTTGCAAAAAGAAGTCGCCTCCCAGGACGCTGAGGCGAAGAACAATGGCGACGGCACGCGCGGCGACTTTTTCGCCGCTTGGGGCGGCATCTCATCTGTCGGCCTCGGCCTGCCAATCTTGCACTCGTCGGCCAAAGCCCGCGCGGCAACGTCGTCTAGCACGGCGGTGCCGAGCCTGGTCGACATGGTGCGCCTCTGCTGCCAGGCGACGGCGGAGCAGGTTGGGCTCGCACACCGCAAGGGCGCGCTCCGGGCGGGCCTAGACGCCGACATTTGCGTCTTTGACGACGCCGAGGTGTGGACGTTTTCGCAGGGCGACATGCGCTGGAAGAACCGCTGCTCGCCGTGGGAGGGTCACGCGTTCACGGGCCGCGTTAAGGAAACGTGGCTGCGCGGCACCAAGATCTTTGAGCACGGCGCGGGTCGGGACGGCTTGGTCACGGAGAAGCCAGTGGGCGAGCCCATTACGGAGAGGAGAAGGTAGAGGAGTGCGTTTCCGGTGGGTAGGATGCAATTATCGTGGGAAGGAATTGGGCTTTGTGATGGAAACATAGAGTTTATACAAGTAGAAGACTTACATAGAGAAAGAAGTGTTATTAATTGTTTATTTCACCAAGTCATTTCCGACACATGAATGTGTTTGCTCGAAGATGTCTTAGAACTTGCACGTCAGTGTTGTCAAATGCAGGGGTATCTCTAGGTACCTAGCCTCTGTTGTGGCACTCACCACCAAAGTGGGCGCATCGTTTTGAGCCCCAGCGCTCGCTCCATCTCTCTGCCCGCCGGCTTCGTTTGTCCTTCGTCTTCATCACCGCGCATGTCAATACTGATTAGCGATATGCCGAATCATCCATCTACGACATGTCAGCTTCGCCCCCGGCCTCTGCCGCATCTGTTCTTCCACCCTCCCAACCATGCTTTCCACCGTTCTCTGTACCATCCGACGACCCTGTGAACGATGAACTGGTTGACATTCAGTCTTCTGATGTCATGTTTCTTGAGACTCTGAAGATGAAAATTGACCGCAAAAACGGCAATAAGTGTGTTGTTACCTTCAAAGTTGAAATCAGCAACAAGCTTTGCGTTATGAAAGTGGTCAGTGACAATTTCGCATGGCACCTATTCATAGCACACTAACTAACGCCTTCCAAGTATAAGCACACTGGATACTGGGATCAATTTCGCACCGAGGAGTGTGCTTATCGACTGCTTCAAGATAGGGGCTTTTGTGAGCGAGGTGTTGTTCCAAAATTCTACGGAATCATCGACAGAATAGAAGATGTAAATCTCTGGCCAGATTTATACCAGTTCGAAGACGACACAACTCCGCCTAGCGCCCTTATTATTGAATACATACCAGACGCTAACAAGATCGATCTCGACAACTTTACGCAAGACAACATGGATAGGCTGTGTGCAATCCTCGCCGAGTTCCATAATATCGGCCTCCTTCATGGCGACCCATACCCGAGAAACATGATGGTTGTTCAGGGAACGCCTAGAGACAGAGTCTTCTGGCTGGACTTTGACTCTTCGAGCATTGAGGATCGAACAGTTCATGACGAACACGCAGAAATGCTGTTCCGACAGGAGTCAGAGGAGATGGCATGTATTGCGAAAGCATATGTATGCCCTTGGCTTTCCAATAGACTCGAAGACTGGCTTTGACTAACAACTCTCTACTCTTAGTCGGCGGATGCTAAGACTGGCAAAGTAGAGAAATCGATGTATTTATAGTGCTGGCTGTCGTATTCCAGCCCTGAACACACGCGATCGTGTCAGCGACGAGCTGTACACCGAAGCGTATCACAACCCACGCCCTCCATTTCCGTACGATTGTCCCCATGGGCCCTCCCTGCCTCGTCTCGTGGCACTATAATCCGCGAGACCGCTTACCTTTCAGGCAAGGTTTGCCAGAGGCCTACGCAACGAGGCCGAAGCCACCGAGTCGTTGCCGGTGGTGTGTCCTTGCCTACGCAACGCGGTCAACTGCTCGGCGTGTTGCCCTCCCTAGGCTTTCGAGATATTTCCTGTTCTGGCTGCCTCGAGCATTCTAGCAATTTTTTCGCTAATCATCGGCCACGCCAACAGTCCTCGGGATGAGCAAGGCGCATCGGCCCAGGTCACACGACAAGAGGCTGCCAATAATGCTTTCTAGGATAGACGCTGGCGCAAGCTTGCAAGGCAGAGCTACGACAGGCCGACTAGGAGTCCATGACGACGCGGATCGAGGGCATGCTCGAGGATATAGGCCCCATCGGCGTCTTTCGCAAGCTCTTCCGCTGCAAGCCTCGCTCAACGCGCAGGCCGCCCGCCTGCGCGTCTGGAAATTTGACTACGACTGGCGCCTAAGCCCACGACGGCAGTCCGGCCAACCCAGGGGTTCCTCGCCAAGCTGCCGTCGAACCAGGCGGGCTTGTCGGACCCTGGCGCGCTGATCATCGCGCACAGCCTCGGCGGACTCATCACCCTGCACGCGGTTGAGGCGCGGCCAGAGCTCTTCTTCGGCGTGCTGTACGCGGACGTGCCGCACTAGGGCATAGACATTCTCGAGCCGCTGCGCAACGGCCACGCGGTGCTGTTAAAGAGAAGCCCCTGACGGCGCGCGTCAACTTCCCCATCCGCACCAGCTTCGCCCTCCGAGTACTCGTTCTGCTTCGTCGATAAACACACGGGCGAGCCGTACCCGGTCGACTTCCTAGATCCGATAAGTTGGGTGTGCCACCGCCTGTGTCTCTTCTTGGAGACGCCGCTGCTGCCGCTGCCGCCGCTGAGAGGCAAAACCTTTTCGCTTACTCCCGGTGAATAGAGCAATTGCCTAGCAACACTATAATCACCGACCCTGTGTCCCCGTTGAGGTTGCTGAAGCCGGCGGTTCTGCTCCATTCTTATAGATCGTTATCGCAAAGGAAGTAAATTCCGGCACTGATGAGCGCCGATGTTAGATGTTAGTGCATGCTAATTTTGAGCTCTTGTGTTGCTTTTCTTTATCTATGCTCTGAATATTTACAACAGTTGATTGCCGTGCACACATGACCGCATCGATTTTTGCCTCGATTTCTCCATGCGTTTGCTTCCTTGGTGGTCGGCTGAAAAGAAGAAAACCTTGTAATGCTACTCGTTTGCCGTCCGAATGCAGCCCTAGAAAATGGTCATTGTTGGTGCTGAATGTTCCGCGTGACAGTTGTTCCCCTCCCAACAGCGACGCTCCACCAAGTTTCTATTTACGCAGCGCGCGCGCAAAATCTTGCTGCCCCTCTACGGTGAAAAGAAGGCTACGAATACAACTGCTCACTGGACATAATTTCCGACCTTTTCACCGTCATCACGATACTACGAAAATGGCCGACAGCAGCGAGATAGATGAGGCACAGCCCTCGATTGAATTCTTGCGTCTGCGCTGGCAAATCGCCGACGGCCCAGCCTTTACCTGCGTCAGCGTCCTCGCCGACCCCGAGGACGCCTCTTCACCACAGCAGCCCTTGCGATCCGCCGACGGCACGCTGCACGCCGTCGCCGCCGCACCGTGTAGCAACCCGCCCGCGCCGCGACTCACGCTACAAATTGAGGAGGCGACCTATCTCGGCGTCGAGGGCGGCGACGTGGAGCTCAGCGAGCCTGCGCGCTTCGAAATGGTGGCCGCCGCGGGGCACGACTACGTTACGATTGGCCAGTACGTGGAGGCGGCGCACCCGTGGTTTCTGGCGCAACGGCAGAAGCACTTTGAGGGGTACGGGTACGGGGACGGGGACGGGCGGCAGCCGCTGCCGGCCGGGACGGAGCTGTGGTTTGATCCCTCGTCGCCGATTGTAATTCATTTTTTCGACTCGGTCGAGTCGGAGCCGCCGTTTACGTTTGAGTGGAGTCTGGTTGCGGATATGGCCTCGGGGATTATTCATGGGCATGTGGATGATGAGTCGGAGTATGGAGATGAGGACGAGGGCGAGATTGATCCGATTGAGGAGTTGAAGTGATGACTTTGGGAAGAGGAAACGGAAACAGAAGCCGAGCTGCGAAAATTCATTCTTGTTATATTGAGAATGGCACTTGCTTGGACTGCTTATATGGTTTCCCAGTCAAGACGCTGGGGTTTACTAAGCAAAGTGTAAAAGAAAGATTGCGCCAATACTTTGGCCGAGCATAAAAGTACTACACATCACTTATACTACACATGACCATCAACAAGACGAAGTGGTTTTCAGGGTACTTTGTCCGTGCCTTATGACGCCCAGCGGCGAACATCATGGCTTGCAGGTCGCGAACACGTGTATGCATGTGCGAAGTCACTGTGATCGACTTGCTACATAATGGAAGTGAATTTTGAAGGGTCTTTTCATGCAGAATCGCTCTTTTGGAACTTATGCAGGAATGGCCTGACTTGTGCTCGCCCAACTGGGCAGCAGCACACCCTCACAGAACCGATGGCCGCCCATTTCGACGCTACAAAGTACAACTACCCCACGCCCATGTACAGTAGCTTGCTCTTCGTGGCGTCCAGGAGTCAATGACAACATAAATCCAGCCGGGCTAGTTTCCTCTAGTTGACGCAACTATAGTGTACTTGGCGCACTATTCAGAGGAATAGAACCTGACCAGCTTTTCAATACGCGGAAGCAGCGGACGGAACATAAGGTGCTGCCGGCGTTGGTCACGTTGGCTTGGGTCTACCACTCGATTTCGAGGCTAAAGACTCAATACGCGTATTCTACTATTAGAATGCAGTTATCGCAATTTACGCAATTTCACGTTGCAGCACTAATAAAGCAGACAGCGTTCAGTTGTGGACTGGTGGCAGTGTAAGCTTGTCTGTACGTCGAACCTGTACATGGGCAATTCTCACCTGGCGATTCTCACCTTATTCAACATTTTCAGAGGTATGAAGCAGAATACGCATACAACAGGATTTAATGTCACAAACTCGAGCTGCACTCCTGTTTGATTAAACAACTGTAAACAGCTAAAACGGCTCCCCAGCTCAACTCGCCCAAAGCGGTAACGTCCCTGGAACCCCACTTGCCAGCTGCTAGCAGGCTCCACACTGGCGCTCTTTAGTGGGTACATTGGGCCGTCTCCAGAACCCCCCAGTTGCCCAGTTGCCTCCTCGCCCAATTTGTCAATGTTACCTCTTCACGTTTCAATATGCAGTTCATGCACGTCGTCTGCGTGGCATGCCTTCCTCTCAATCTGCACGCTCTGCTTTGATTATTAAGACTGAGCGAGGCTTACATGCCGATTACCAGTCGTTTGCCTGCTCCCTACGCCACCCCGGGTAGCATCTACATTGTCTTGGCCTGCTCATTGTCTGCAGGAATGTCTCAGATGCACATCAAGCACGAACATGTTCTCATCTGAGTCGTTCGGCAAGCTTGACGGAAGTCTCTCTGTCGCTCTGACTGTCCAATTTTGATGCCAAATTTCTCGGGTGCTTTCGACTCGCCGATATGGCTTCTCATGATGAGGGAAAGATTCGACTGCCTGCCCTTCCCGTAGAACTTGGCGGAGAGAGCGACAGGACGGACAGAGCTAGCTCCACTACTACATATCTGGATCATACCAGCAATCAGAACAAAGACGGCAACACACGACAATTTTCGTTATCAGGCGCGGGACAGCTCTCCCTCGACGATGTTGCCAGCGTCCAAGTCCAGATTCGCGACCTCGAGGTATCCGTCAATACCGCGCCGTCTTGGCTCGCTCCCTCCACATATCCCAATCTTTTCAAATCGAAATTCAACACTGCCGCCGAAATGAAGACGCTTCTCCATTCCGTCAATGCCGATCTGGCGCCGGGCAGCCTTACGGCCATCATAGGCGGCAGCGGCTCAGGCAAGACGACGCTGCTCAACACTATGGCTGAACGTATCGTTAGCTCCCGTTTACATCAAGAAGGAGTCGTCACATTCAACGGCGAGACTGGCGTGCATACCGTGCGTCATGCCTACGTGATGCAGCAGGATATTCTTCTACCGACTTTGACCGTGCGCGAGACCTTGCGATACGCAGCAGATCTCCGCCTGCCCTCAGCCACAAAGCGTCAAGACCGGTGGCGCATTGTTGAGGAGGTCATTAGAGAATTAGGCCTCAAGGAATGCGCCGACACGAGAATCGGAAACTCGCAGCACCGCGGGTGCTCCGGTGGCGAAAAACGTCGCGTCAGCATCGGCGTCCAGCTCCTCGCGAACCCATCTATTCTCTTTCTCGATGAGCCAACTACCGGGCTAGACGCTACGAGTGCTTATCAGCTGGTACGAACTTTGAAGGCCCTGGCAAATAAGGGCCGTACCATCATTACCACCATTCATCAGCCTCGCTCCGAAATCTGGAAGCTCTTTGATAACATCATCATTCTGACCAGAGGTAGCCCTGCCTACTCAGGAGACGCATCCGAGTGTATACCCTGGTTCGAAAGCCAAGGATTTCCAATCCCAGCCTTTGTGAACCCGGCTGAATTCGTCATCGACATTGCGGCCATTGATAATCGGACGCCAGAGCTAGAGACGGAGAGCAGCCTGCGCGTCGGAAATTTACAGCGACATTGGAAGCAAGAAAGTGAAAAGGTTTTCTTGCCTCTGGGTGGTGTCATAAGCCAATCTCATCGCCACCACCAGCGCATTCTCTCACACGGACACGAGGAGAGGGCCGGGTTCTTGCGCCAGTTGCGGGTTTTGACCTGTCGAACCCTCAAAGTCACCTATCGAGACCCAATGGGCATGACTGCCGCCCTTCTCGAAGCCGTACTACTGGGCGCAATCACAGGCTACATGTTTTGGAATGTTGGTCGCGATCAAGCTGGCATCAGATCTCGCCAAGGCGGGCTGTACATCACTGCTGGTCTGCAAGGCTATTTGATCCTCCTCTTCGAGGTTTACAGGCTCACCATCGACATGCCAACATTTGATCGCGAAAACTCTGAAAACTGCGTCGATGCTCTTCCCTTTATCCTGTCTCGTCGACTCGCGAGAATGCCGACCGAGGACGTGCCGGTGCCATTCATTTTTTCTGTCTTAATGTACTTCATGTCAGGATTCGACCGCGATGCCGGTAAATTCTTCACCTTTTTTGCCATTACTCTGCTCAATCAATACGTATCTGTGGCATGCGCCATGACCTGTGTCACAGCTGTGCGGCATTTTCCCGGAGCAAGCTTGATGGCCAATTTGATCTATACTATTCAGAGCATAGCATGCGGCATGTTTGTGCAGTCAAGCAGCATTCCAGTCTATGTCCGGTGGATAAAATGGGCCGCATACAATGTTTGTATTCGAACTGGCACATAATTGATCTCTAGCTAATACGTTGGGAAAGTTCTATGCCTTCAGCGCCTATTGTGCGAATGAGTTTCAAGGAAACTTCTACAATTGCCCTTATCCTGGTGGCAGAGACAACCCGGCCTGCGAACAGTACACTGGAAATTACATCATGAAGTCTCTTGGCTTCCCAACAAACTGGATTACAAGACCGATAGTTGCGCTTGCTTCATTTATAGTCCTCTTTCTGCTTCTGTCCACGGTTGGCCTTACATTTCTCAAGGTGGAAATGACAATTGCCCGTGCTCGAATAACGGATACTGACTTGTCCGCTGGAAAAGAAAATATGACTGCACAGTCAGTTAGCGAAGTGAGAGCTATTGATGTCGGCCTGGACAGATTTGCGCTAGCATTGGACAAGAAAGCAGCCACTGGCAAGCCTCTGCCCAGACGGCTGATTGTCAATCCTCTTACGACGACGTTTCAAGCTGGAACTCTCAATGTCATCATGGGCCCCTCTGGCAGTGGCAAGACATCACTTCTCAACGCCATGGCACTAAGGCTGCGAAACTCTGTGGGCACAAAATATCGACCCTCTGGCAAGCTGACGTTCAATGGTGCTGTTCCATCGGATTCCGTGATCCGCTCTGTCTGTTCATATGTCTGTCAGGACGATGATGCACTGCTTCCATCCCTTACTGTGCGAGAGACTTTGCGTTTTGCCGCGGGCCTGCGTCTTCCATCATTCATGAGCACAGAGGAGAAATATCAAAGAGCGGAGGCAGTGCTGCTCAAGATGGGCTTAAAGGACTGCGCGAATAATCTAGTGGGGAATGAAATGATAAAGGGTATCTCAGGCGGTGAGAAGCGACGTGCCAGTATCGCCGTTCAGGTCTTGACGGATCCCCGAGTGCTGCTTCTCGACGAGCCCACTTCTGGCCTAGACGCCTTCACGGCCAGTTCTATCATGGAAGTGCTTCAGGGTCTCGCAAACGAGGGCCGCACACTAATCTTGACCATTCACCAAGCGCGATCCGATTTGTTCAGACACTTTGGCAACGTACTCCTGCTGTCTCGTGGCGGCCACCCCGTATATGCGGGTGCCGGGAGGGATATGCTGGGATACTTTGACAGACATGGGTACGATTGCCCAAAGAACACCAATCCGGCCGACTTTGCGCTAGACATGATTACTGTCGACTTGCAAAAAGAAGATGTCGAGGCGGAAAGCCGTGAGCGGGTGAAGAAGCTCATTGACAGCTGGAAAATCCATGTCGACCCAGCAGCGAACGTTCAGGAGCCGCGACTGGCGGCGATTCACGAAGAGGCTGACGAAGCCAACGGGAAACAAAGTATCCAAGACATGAGAATCCAAAAGATTGCTTCAGAAGACGGCGAATGCAGCGAAAAGGGGCAGCCGTCGTCTCACAAGGTCAACGATGCCCTCGCACACAAAGGTGCATTTGCAGCCGCGCCTCGCCGCTCCTTCAACCGTGCCAACCTCTCTACACCCGCAGAGCTGGGCGCTCTCGTCCGTCGACGCACATCCCTCGTCAAGGCGCTGCCACTTCTCCTTCGCCGCGCCGTCATCAACACCCGCCGCCAGCCGGAGCTCATACTCGCGCGCACGATGCAGGTCGCCGGCCTCGCGTGCGTCTTCACGCTTTTCTTCGCACCCTTTAAGCACGATTACTTTTCCGTGCAGAACCGCATGGGTTACGTGCAACAGGTCGGCGCTTTCTACTTCGTCGGCATGCTCCAAAACGTCGCCGTGTACCCCGCAGAGCGCGACGTCTTTTACCGCGAAGACGACGACGGCGTCTACGGTGTTGAAGCGTTCCTGCTCTCTTACACGATTCTCGAGCTTCCCTTTGAGGTCCTGAGCTGCCTCGTCTACGGCATCCTCTCCACCTTTGCCGTGCGTAACCCTGAGACGGCCTCGCTCTTCTGGGCTGCCTTTTTCGGCTGCTTCGGCGTTGTCTCGTGTGGTGAGAGCCTTGGCATCATGTTTAACACGCTCTTTGCGCACACGGGTTTTGCTGTCAACATCATGGGCGTCTTCCTCTCCGTTGCCAACGGCATGGCCGGCGTGCTCTCCATCAACATGCCAAAGGCGTTTGACGCCGTCAACTACCTTTCGCCAATTCGCTACGCCACGCGCGCCATGGCACCGTACGCGATGCGCGGTGTCGAGTTTCACTGCACGCCCGCGCAGGCCCTGCCGGACGGGTCCTGCCCGATCACTTCGGGTGAGCAGGTGCTGGAGCTGTACAACTTTGATGTGGATCCGAATGTGAATGCGTATTGTCTTTTGGCCTGCGTTGTCGTTTATAGGTTGATTGCCTGGGCATTGCTGAGAGTGACGAGGGCTCGGTGGAAGGACAAGAAGAGGGTAAAAGTCTGAAGATGAACTTGGTATGTAAAGACTAATCTATGGCCTTGACATGGCTCTGGTATGTGTCCGTTGCCAGGCTCCTATGGAGTCTGGAATCAAGTGCTTCATACATCACAACACAAACAGAGCATGCAGCTCAATGCATGTAGATGCGACATTAAAGGGCACGTAGTAAACCTCAAATTCAGAGGGGTCAGAGCTTCAGTCCGAGTAGGCTGTATTTCAAAAGGCGGTAAGGAGATACTCTATAAATACTAGCTATATACTTGAAGCAAAGAATATTTGCAAGACCTGTTGAGGGGACATCCACAGTATTTCTCCTCGAAAGCTGATTATGCCCACGTTTCACAGTGCTTGCTCCTCCCTTTCAAGATTCAACAGCACATGCTTGAATCTCTCGGCCAAACCCCACGACAGTACGTCCATTCGCTGTCGGGAGGTGGCCAGAGACTTGGCGCTCGTGAGCTCACCAAGCTCGCCGAGGCCTTGGAAGTAGACCGCACCGCCGTGTTTGACCCTTATTCTCCATTAGCAGCGCAACTGACAAAAGCATCGCGCCACGTACAAAAAATTGAGTATGGCTTCTGTCTGGTGCCACCACCACCACCAACACCGCCCAAGTTGGTGGAAAGCTTTAACGCGGCCCAAAACGTGAGGGCAACATCCAGACACAGCACCGTCTCCGCCGGCGCATTCTTCGTTCGTCAGTACTCAACATTAAACAGCCTTTTTTTTTTCTCTGAGGGGCGCAACAAACTCAAAAGAATATCTCGCAAGCAAGGCACTAAGCTGTCCGGCCTGGGCGAGGATGAATCTTGGCCCTGCTGGATCGTCACTGACGTGGCATCTGATTCATTCTCGTGCACTGGCATTGCTCTCTTCGGTGCCCGACTTTCCCGCTGCAATAGAATATTCCGGGCATCTTTGACTCATTACATTTTCAAGCTAGATCTGCCAGCAGCGCCACTCTTACCATGTATGGCATGACATGAATTGATGGTACACTTAAAAAGTCAAGCCTCTGCTTTTGCTTAAATCTCGATAATCGGACCCTCGTACTCCTTCCGCGCCCAGAAAACATAGTAAAGAATGCTAAAGATCAAGATGAAACCGGTGACAACAGCGGCATAGTTCGTAGTCGCGGCAGTAGGGTTCATCATGCCGGGCCAAAAGCTGAAGAAGAAGATGACAATGAGATAGATGCAGCTGATGGCGTTGTTGACGATGCCCAGTGCACCTGGCAAGTGCCACGGGCCCCAGACGAGCTCGGCGCCCGTCGTGTTTGCCAACGCCGGCATCTCCGAGGTGCCAGGCATCTGGAAGCCCTTGGTCGTACGGCGGTACAGCAGCAGACTGGCGCAGATAAAGTACGACAGGTAGAGGCAAGAGATGGAGAGTGAGATGACCGCGTTCAAGGCCGTGGCCGAGCCGAGATTGATGAGCGCCAGCAGGCAGGCGATGCAGGTGGTGCACGCAATCGCCCACACCGGGACGGTGGTGCGCGCATCGATGCGCGACAGGACGCGCCAGAAGGGCAGGCCGCGGTCGCGGGCAAAAGACCAAAAGACGCGGGACGTGGAGGCGAGCATGCCAACGGTGGCGCAGGCGCCAAGGATGGTGATGATGGCGGCCATGACGGTCGAGCCGGCGACGGAGCCGGTCGAGTCGAGGAAGAGCTGCATGTGGGCGAAGCCGGTCGGCGAGCTGAGGACAGATTCGAGGTCCCTGATGCAGAAGAGCACGGCGACGGTCATGGCGAAGCCGGTCGTGCCGTTGATGAGCATGGATAGGAAGATGGACTTGGGCACGGCGACGGCCGAGTTGAGCGTCTCCTCGGACATGTGGAAAGCAGCGTCGACGCCTGTATTTGTTAGAGATGTGTGTTTCATGGTATGCAAGGGTGGAGGAGAGAAAGGTGATGACTTGCCAACAAAGGCAAAGACGTTGCCAACCAGGCCAACCATAAAGGAGAGACCCTGCGTCGGCCACTCGCCGCCGTTGCGGAACTCGGTGAAGACGTGCTGCGCATCACCGTGATAACCTAGCGACACCATTGGGATCAAAATGGCAAAGAACCCCAGCACATGCAATACCAAAATCAGGCCTTCAAATTTCGGCAGCGCCGAGCTGACAATCGCATTGATCAACACGGCAAACAGCATAATCGCCCAAAACAGAAGCGTGCCCTGGTACGGCTGCGGCACGTACGTCTCGACATTGTTCATGGCAATCATGCCCTGGATCATGGTACCGGTCAAGAACGCGGAACTCGCCACGCTGCCCTGCCAGCCGCCGACAGCCAGCCAGCCGGTGGTGTAGCTCAGAAACTTGGCGCAGCGGCGCGGGGCGAGCATGGCGACCCAGTGGTACTGGCCGCCAGAGGTGGGCGCCATGGAGGCGAGCTCGGAGAGGGTGGTGAAGACGGAGATGTTGCCGAGCCAGACGACAATGTAGCCGTAGAGGACGCCGGCGTAGCCGCCGTTGGCGAGGCCTTGGGCGGAGAGCACGAGGGTGGCTTCCCAGGTGATGAGGATGGTGCAGGAGAAGCCGAGGATGGACATGAAGCCAAAGTTGCGCTGTGGGGAGGGGGGGGTTAGCATTGAGGAATGTTTGGCAGACAGATGCTGCTTTGGCTATGGAGCAGATAGTTGAGGATAGGTCGCACCTTGAGAACAGACTTCTTGCCGAGGCGCGCGAGTTGCTCGCGGTCGGCGTAGTCGCTCTTGGAGACTTTCTCTCTGTGAGGACTGATCGGCCCTATGATGGTGCGCATGCCCTTGGCCGTGGCCGTGGCCATGTTGCCTAGCTCATGACCTGTCGAGGCCATGTTTGTTCTCTGATGGAGCAAGTGGCAAGGCAACGACTATGTAGATGATGCAGACAATCTACAGCACCAACGTTATGGGGCTCCCGCGGGAGGATGATCTACGTGTAGATGCAGAAATGTAAATGCAAAAGTTCTAGAAGAAATCAGATGCAGAATGGGCCTTGTGTCTCGCCCGAAGCGAACGGGAGAAAAGGGTCCAGACTTGTTACGGCCTAGAAGAGCTGTTATGTGAAGGCAAACAGGGCCAAGTAAAGAAAATGGCTTAAGAAGGAAAGAAAACTTCGAATGCCACATGCATATGAATTTTTGGGTCAAAGGGCAACTTCAGTTGAAACTACATCTCATACCTCTCTCTCCATGACCATGGACCATTTCCATTTACCCTGTCCCGCAGGGACGGCTCAAGTGGACTCGACATTAGCTTAGCTCTCACGCTCTGTACTACAGAGTGGATGGGAGGGGTTACTTCTGCAGATGTCTGCGCTGGAAATGTAACCCTGGGATTCATTGGCAATATGCGAAAGTGCAACGGGTAGCTAAGCCGACGCTTTAAAGGCCAAGTGGGTAAATAAGCCGAACTAGACGGCGAAGAAACCAAGTTTAGGCTGTGAGTCCGAGACTACCCATTACCATGTATACTCGCCGTTTTCAGAGCCAATCAAAAGCTAAATTGGTTGGGAATTCAATATCCACTTACTAGGTAATACAGTAACTTTTCGACCATTCTGAAAAGCCATCGTGTAAGAAATAGACTTATAATCAAGAAGGCCATTTATTGACTGCGCATCAAGTTTGTTAGAGCAACGGCAGCGTATAGCCTACCTTGTTTGATGCCATCAATTTGGTGAAGAAGGAAGAATTAGAGGGATTCGTCACACACCGAAAAGTCGAAAGCTTACCGAGAGGAAGTTGGGCAACTGGGCTAGCAGGCGGGCGGGCGGGGTGCCGATTTCCCCCTTTTTGCCTCAAGATCTCAGTATGAGGGAGCTTTGGTGGCGCTCGTGACGGTGCTGTCATGAGGAGCCTTGTCATTTTCGCGTGCGTAGCCATCACTTTGATGGAAAAGATTGTGTTGGAGCATATTCATTGTACTTGTGGCACTATTATCCTAGTTGGCAACAACTAGTAACCTATCGATACGAAATACGTACAAGTGTGTGTCGCTAAAACACTCTATTGCAACTTTACCTAGCATTTATCCAAAGTGGGCCTTGGTTATACACAGCGATGGCTGCATGTGACTACAATGTATCAGTTAGACTGGCAGCACCACTAGTGTGACGAGAGATATCAGTTGCGGCCTTTCTCAGCCTAGCGTATTTAGACAGGGGAATCTGCTAGCTTATTACGTAAAAGAAAAAGGAGGATAGAGGATCAGACGAAAGAGAAGAAAAAAACATGGAAGCCATGGGAACCCTGAAGCCTTGTAATGGTGGGAAGCTCGTCCGTCAGGGTGTGTCAATGGCAAATGGGCAACCTCCCGAAATATCAAAGGCTGAAGTAATGGGACGTTACGACATAAAGAGACGGTCGATCTAGTGCTACACTCTTTTTTCTCACGAATTTTGTCTACAGTTATTCGGACGATGCGTCCCGGCCTCCCCCCCCCCCCATCAAGCCACCCGGTCATTTGGGGGCGGCAAAAGTGTCCAGAGGTGTCTGCCACATTGTTCTTCTGGCAAAGTCTGTGCGAGCATCTGATGATCTGATTCTCGTCGCATCTTTTTTGGTCGGCCCCAGCCGAAATCTTGCCGTTTCTTTTTTCCACGCCACCTATCTTCAGTATGCGCCACGGTCAAGGAAAAGGAAAACCAGCAGTTCTAGAGACAGAGGGAGCCTCAACGGTTGAGATTCCTTATACAGGTTTCGAATGTACAGAGGGCTACAGCAATAGAGTGCCCATTTCTTGCAAAAACTTCCGGGCCCCCCCTATAGCTCACGGCTATAAACTCGACAGCAATTCCTGCCCCGGCAGACTCGTGCAGGAGGGCAACTCGAGTCGGCAGACAGATATTTAGTTATGCTGGAACTTCTTTAGACTTGAAACTAACAGTGTCGCAACTCAATTAGATTGGCGACCTGAGACCATGTTGCTAGGAACATTTGCTCGTTCTGGAGTTGCACACCACGGAGCCATGAGATTTTGCATAGAGCTAATCAACTTGGGACGATAATATCAGCGACTGTATAGACGTTATACTGTAAAAAGCAACCCTCAATGTTTAGGTCTCTCGCCTGAGCCATTCTCCGTTTGCTGACTTCCGCCGTGGCAACTTCGCAGTCTTGCGCCAGAAGTTTTGCCTTGTACGTCGGAGGACGCGGTGAAATCTCGTGCCGCTGATAACAGGCGCCCGCTTCAGCCGCTATACATAGGCAGCTAAAGACTTGGGAAATTGCAACAAGCCAGCCAGATTAAGGTTGTCTATCTTTGACGTTCAACAGCCGCAAATAGTTGACGTCGTCAGCGCTAGCGCGCTGTAGAAGCTTCATGACATCGACTTGGCTATTCTTAGCGGCCAGCTAGACGGTCTTACACCCGACGCTGTCTTTGAAGCCGTGTCGTATGATGTGGTCTCCCCTCCACCCTGTGATCTTTTCAATGCATGGCCTAGGTTTCTAAACTCCAAGTCATGTTCTTATGCCAATAACCCTAACCAACACGGTGCGGATACATTGAACCAGCCTGATCCGGCACTTGCATATCCGCGCCCACGTGTTGTGACGATCATTGCCTAGAAACTGTATCTTCCCCATTGCCTTTAGAGTTCTAGCAAAGAGTACCCAATCAGGGCAACGCGCTCGCGTCCCATCCACCTCTTATTACTCGCGTAGTCTACTTGTCCATGGCGCTTCAAGTTTTATCCACAAGGCTGAGCAACGCTGCGGAGCCGGCCAGTATGGGTCGGGCCGTTGACCAAGTTAAAAATAAAAGTCAGACACTGAAACAAGCAAATTAAGGACTGTGCCACCATATGAGGGATGAGAATCACCGAAAACCGAGAATGAATCATCCTGAGTTATTATGATTGTTGATGAGGAGATATTTCAGTTCATCGTCAAGTCTTTGCAAGCATGACGACTATTATATAATAACTGCGTCGTGACCATAGAGATTAGTCTTCACGCTTCTCGTAGCATCTAGTTAACATGGCTCGAATTCGAACCTTACTCCTGCTTCTGGCGACTGCTGTGCCTTCTTTTGGCCAATACACGTCTCACCAGCGTTCATCAGAACTACTCTCAACTAATCACTCGGCAACGCCCTTCACCGAAGAAGTTGATACTTTTGTCGATTCACTCCTAGCCAAATTTCAGGTCCCTGGCTGCTCAGTTGCCGTCATCGATGGAGAAGAGACCTTTACAAAGGTACGAGGAAGCGCCCACACGACTTGACTCTCTAACCAAACATATACTAGGGTTTTGGCTTTGCTACGCTTCCCGATGTGAAAGCAACTCCCGAAACTCTATGGCGGGGTGCATCAACCACAAAGGCCTTTGTAGGCGCTACTCTGGCACATTTCATCCAGAATAAGACCTACCCAGACCTACTCACTGATGGCTGGGCTACGCCTATCTCGTCCATCATCCCAGACGACTTTGTCCTGTCTGATGACTGGGCCACCAAGCATATCACCCTTGACGATGCCATCTGCCACCGTACTGGCCTACCCCGTCACGACTATACCTGGCAGTATACGACCAACGGCACTCGAACGACCGACCGCGACGTGGTGAGGAACCTACGCAACCTAGGCTTCACGGCCGAGCCGAGAACAGTCCACCAGTACAGCAACCTTATCTACATCGCGCTCTCGCATGTCATTGAGACACTTACTAAGGAACCCTTCAAGATTACTCTTAAGAATCTTATCTGGGGACCTCTCAATATGACCTCGACGTTCTTAGATATCGACGAAGCGAAAGCCTCAAACAATCAGCTTGCCACAGGCTATTATTGGAATAATGCTACACAGAGCCATGGCGCCATCACGCACGATTATCTGCTACAGTCGGGCGCTGCTGGAATAATCACCAGCGTTGTCGACCATGCTAAGTGGGTGCGTAGCCTACTGTACCGGAGCGGCCCCTTGTCAGACGCCACACACGACGATATTCAGCGGCCGCGCATCATCGACGATTTCTATCCAGCCGCTAATATGAGCATCGGTATGTATGGACTCGGCTGGGAGCGCATCACCTTTCACAACGAGACCGTACTTCGACATATTGGTCAAACTCTATCTTCTGGATGCCTGATTTGGTGGCTTCCCGAGCGCAAATTTGGCATCATCGTCATGGCCAACGTCTATAAGCAGGCCGACCACGTCAACGAGGCCCTAGCGCGCCGCCTAGTGGAGGACAAACTCAGCGTTCCCGAAGATAAGCGGTTCGACATGGCGACATTGTATGTACTCAACGATTAAGTCGGTGACATGTTCTGAAGTTGGTCAACTAACTCAAGTGCTAGACGCAGAAAACTTCTAGACAAGCAGGATCGCCTATTCCCTGGCGCCGTGGACGAAATGTACCCAAGCAAGCCGGATCGAAGCATCCCCCCCTCTGTGTGCATCCAGGATCTCGCGGGAGAGTACCATAACGCAGGATACGGTAGCCTGGTATTTAAGCCCACGAATGAGACGAATAGCACCGTCTTGCTGGCGGAGCGCCCCGACACAGTCTATCAGTATAATGTCCGTCTACAGCACGTCTCTGGTGACGACTGGCTCGCCTTCTACCTATCACGCCTCGGTTCGCGTCTGCCAAGGGAGTACTTTCGCTCACAGTTCAAGTTCAACGGCACCGCAGCTGCGCTGGACATTCATATGGGGGATAACTCGGAGGGCACCAAGCCTTATACCGTCACTTTTACAAAGGTTGCCTGAGAATACCCAAGGTATAGGTTTTAGATTGATGTAGTGTATAGAACGAGAAACTGATCAGATTTCATCTATATATTATATCAATCATCTCAAAGAGCCTCATCAATTAGTGATTCTAACACTAATACGCCGAACACATGTACTTACACGTATACTAACACTAATACGCTCAATACGTATACTACTACTTATTAAAGAATATAGCTAATATAAAGAAGGAGAAAGAATAGATTATAAAAAGGTAGCTAGTTTATAGTTAAAATATAATAAGTAGTTCTTAATAATAACTTTATTAATTATTAAAAAAGAGAAGTTCTCTTTTAATAGTTTTTATTATATTTTTACTTTTTTATTAATAAATATTTATATTTAACCTTAGTAAGTTATAATAAACTACCTTTTTTTTTCTTTTTTTCTTTTATAGTTTCTTAAAGCTAATTTTTTTAATTTAGAAATATAATAATTATAAAAATAATTAATATTATTTTTAGATTAATTATTTAACTTAAATTTTATATAATTATAATAATTTTATTTATTTTATTTATTTTTATTATAAAGTTATATATTATTATTTAATATATTAAAGCTTTATAATTAAAATAAATCTTTCTTTTCTTTAACTTTTATTAATTTTTATAGTTTTATTAATATATTATAATAGAATTATAAATAAAAAATTTAATTTTCTTTTTTAAAAATTTTAATATATAAGTTTCTACTTATAATTCTAATAATTTTATAATTAAGTTTTTATTAACTAAATACTTCTTTATATAAAATATATAAAATAATAAATTAAAATAAATCTTTAAAATTTAATAATTTTCTATAATATCTTTTATAAGCTTATTATCTTTTTATTACTATTTTATATTATAATATTTAATATAATTTTCTTATATAATCTTAAGTAAAATAGTAGTTTATATTACTTATTTTAAAATAAATTTTTACTTTTCTTTTTTAACTTAATACTTTTATAATTTTATAATCAATTTATTATAAAACTATAAATTTCTTTATTATATTATAATATCTTTAATTTTTAATAATACGTTAATCTTATAAAACTTTTTTACTTTATTTATTTATAAATAAAATAATATATATATTTTTTTAATATTTTTATAAGTTTATTATTTCCTTTTTATAAATAATAATATATATAACCTAAGTAATATTTTTATAATTCTTAAAGTAAGTTATTAAAAAAAGTAATAATAAAATTAATTATAAAAAATAATAAAATATATAACTTAAATATAATATTCTTTATATTATAATATAGATAATAAGTAAGTAACGTAAAT